GCCAGGAACTCAAATTACAAGAGAAAATTTATTTAGAAAGTTATAGAGGTAGTAGAAGTGAGCCAGTTGGGCTGCATAAGTTCAGGAAACAAGTTACAGAAGCAAAATAAGGGCCCTTTAGCAATCCTGAGAAAAAAAGAACAAAGTAGGAGGGATCTCAATACCAGATATCAAGCTATATTACAAAGTCACTGTTCTCAAAACTGCCTGGTACTGGCACAAGAACGGGCTAATAGACCAATGGAATAGGATAGAGAACCGAAAAGTTGACCCAAATCACTATGCTCAATTAATATATGACAAAGGAGGCAAGCATACAATGGAGTCAATACAGTCTCTTCAATAAATGGTGTTGGGAAAATTGGACAGATACATGCAAAAAAAAAATGAAACTAGACCACCAACTTAGACCATAAACAAAAATAAACTCAAAATGGATAAAGGATTTAAAAACAAGAAGGAAAACCATAAAAATATTGGAGGAATCCATAGGCAGCAAAATGTCAGACATATGCTGAAGCAATATCTTCACCAATACAGCTCCTAGGGCAATGGAAACTAAAGAGAAAATAAACAAATGGGACTATATAAAAATAAAAAGCTTCTGCACAACGAAAGAAACCATCAAAAACAACAAGAAAGCCCACTGCATGGGAGAACATATTTGGCAATGCTATTTCAGATAAGGGTTTAATCTCCAACATTTACAGGGAACTCATACAACTTATCAAAAGGAAGAGCAACAATCCAATTTTTAAAAATGGGCTAGGGACCTAAATAGATACCTTTGTAAAGAGGACATACAGAAGGCCAAGAGACATATGAAAACATGCTCAAAGTCACTAATCATCTGAGAGATGCAAATCAAAACAACAATGAGGTACATCTCACACCTGTCAGAATGGCTATCATCAACAAATGAACAAAGGACAAGTGCTGGTAAGGATGTGGAGAAAAAGGAACCCTCATACACTGCTGGTGGGAATGCAGACTGGTGCAGCCACTATGGAAGACAGTATGGAGTTTCCTCAAAAAAACTAAAAATGGAACTCCCGTTTGACCCAGTGATCCTACTTCTAGGGATATACCCCAAGAAAACAGAAACGCCAATCAGAAAGGATATATGCATCCCTATGTTCATAGCAGCACAATTTACAATAGCTGAGATTTGGAAACAGCCTAAGTGCCCATCAGCAGATGAATGGATTAGAAAACTGTGGTACATCTACACGATGGAATACCATGTTGCTGTAAAAAAGAAGGAATTCCTACCATTTGCAACGGCATGGATGGAACTGGAGAGCATTATGCTAAGTGAAATAAGCCAGTCAATGAAAGAAAAATACCACATGATCTCACTCATTTATGGATAATTAAGACCATTATAAACTGATGAACAAAAATAGGTACAGAGGCAGAGCAACATCGAACAGACTGTCAAACTACAGCCGGAAGGCTGGGCAGGATTGAGGTGGGGGTAAGAGATCAACCGAAGGACTTGTATGCATGCATCTAAGCATAACCAATGGACACAAGACACTGGGGGGTGTGGGAGGCCAGGGGAAGGTCAAGGGGAGAGGAAAAAGGAGACATATGTAATACTCTTTGTAATACTTTAAGCAATAAAACAAAATTTTAAAAAAAGAAAAAACAAGAAAAAGGTGGTGCATCTACACAGTGGAATACTACACTGCTGTAAAGAGGAAGGAACAGCATGGATAGACCTGGAGAGCATTATGCTAAGCAAAATAAGTCAGTCAGAGAAAGATAAATATCACATGGTCTCACTCATTTGTGGAATATAATGAACAACATAAACTGATGAACAAAAACAGATCCAGAGACAGAGAAGCATCGACCAGACCACAAACCTGAGATAGAAGGCAGGGGAGGGTTGGGGGAAGGGGGAGAGATCAACCACAGGACTTGGATGAATGCATATAAGCATAACCAATGGACACAGACAACAGGGGGGTGAGGGCAGTAGCGGGAGGGCTGGGGGCAATGGGGGATAAGGACATGTATGTAATACCTTAATCAATAAAGAAAAAAAACAAAATAAGGGCCCTTGGAGCTTAGGAGAGAGAAGGGCAAAGTTAATGCCCCTGGGGTGGGGGTGGGGGGGCGGAGATGGAAGGGCGAGGTTGTGCTCCTGAGAGAGAGTCCCAGCACCATTGTTTCTACTTAACATATTGCTCCTTTGAAAAAATAAAGAATTTCAAATCTTAAAAAAAAGAAAGTGCTGCAAGTCTAACATAATCATAAGAATAACATGTTGAGCAAAACACACACTAGGATGGGACTAACCCTAAGGGTAGTTGGGCATTGTGCCAGGGACCTGTGAGACTAACTTGTACTGTTGGCTTTTTTCCTGGTTGGGAAGAGGGAAGAGCAGGAGCTTGAAGATGCAGCCCAGCCAGCTCTGGGGAGGAAGACCCAGGCAGAGAACAAAATGTTTCACATTGTACATTTGCTGAAAAAAATAAAATTATTATTCTTTCTGGAGTGTACAATGTAGAATTTAATCTTATTTAACCTTTCATTTCCCTTTCCCATAAGCTAACAATCAACATGTGTAACTTATTAACACAACTGAGCATAATTGTTCAGTCTTTTTATATCTGTTAATTGAAGATATTTGTCTTCTCTTTTCCCCTAAAAATGTATTAGCCCAGTTAACAAAACGTCATTTACTTGAATGTTTTTTTTATATCCATTCTAAAGGATCCATAAATGTCATTGTGTTATGAGTGTAAGAAGGATTAAAGTATAGGAGAAACATGATGACAAATTGGATGTGATTACTGTCCTATTCTTACTTGACTAATTCAGGATATCAAAACAACATTAGGCATTTTGACAAAAAGTCAGTGTAGCTCTTTATTTCCACTCAGAAGAGACTAATCCTCTATGTTTGGGCATTTTTTTAACTTGTACTTATAAACATTGAATTTGATCTTTGCTCTTTTGCAGGGGGTTTACCCATCTGATAAATATATCTGTGGGCGAGTCACTGTTCAGTGCTTTAGTCCTGGACTTTTTAAAGATCTACCTTGGCTGCTCCACAATCCCTTTGTTAATTATTCTATCTTCCTGCTTAAGTGCCTCCAGTTCTGATTCTAGAGTATTATTTGGTAAATTAAATCATCCATAACACAGAGAGGAAGGGGGGGGGGGCGGGAGGCGGCGGGAAGTCCTGAGTGGTGAAAAGTCAATGCGGTAAAATCTATGCCTTGTAGATTTCTTAATATGAAAGCCTCTGCTCAGCCCCTACACAATTCTAACAAGTTCACCTATCCAGTTTCCCAATTCACAGGTAAATGAAAAATAACTTAAACTTAAGTTACTATGGTGACAGCTTATTATTATTACTAACATTTACTCAGTACTATTAGCTGCTAGAAACTGTACTAAATCTTTTCCATGCATTATTTCACTAAATCTGCAACAACTCTGTAAAGTACAATTAGTAGCTCCATTTTACAATTTCATAAAATGAGTTTTAGACTTAAGTTTTAGGACTAAGAAATTTGCCAAATTTGTCTATACTTACTACAGACAGGCATAAGTAACAGTGAGATAACCTGATAACAAAAGAATAAATAAAATACAAAAGAAAAATAAATTGCAAGAAGTTGGAAAGCATAGTAATTTGGAGGTATTGAATTTGGAGACAGGCCCACTTGATACCTCTCAGTAGCTTTCAGAAGGCAACCCAGTATTACAACACAGTAAAGGAACTGGTGTGTATAAGTATAACCCCAAACCATTAAATTATGTTCAAAATCTCCTAGTTAAGAATGGAGAAAGAAATGTAATACTCACTATAAATAATTCTCTTATTTTTAAAAAAATTGGTAAGGTAAATATCAACCTGTGTTCTGGATTCTTAAAGGGAAGGCTTTAATTATCTGAAGAATTCACATAAACAGAGCACATTATTTTCTGATGATGCATTTTTATTTGTGGTATTTTTCTAAAGAATAAAACATTAAAAGGGAAGAAGAGGATATAACTTGATTTGCAAAATATTTCCATTTCTTTTTCAAAGCCTCTTCATTCAGCTTCAGCTAGTCCATTTGTCAATTTGCTGTGGTTTGGGCATATTCCATCACCAGGGTTTATCCTACTATATTGACTAATGTGGACTTGACCACTTTAAAAGGAGACCTGGGAGCATGACTGAATTGATCTGTGGTTTAAAGTGGCCAAAGAAAATCCTCAATCCCACTCCTTACTAGGATTATAATAGTTGCCCCAGAGCCTTACCCAAAATGGCTACATGTCCATGCCTAGGGTTTAACTGTGATTTGTCATGAGAAGGTGAGATCTTGAACAAGGTCATTTCTCAAGTGACCTGTCCTTAGTGGGTACCTGAATATGGCCTAGAGCACCTGAGAGGCTATAGGAAAGATGAGAACCCTGGGCCAAGACAATTTAAAAGGAGCCAGGGATCCAGCAATCAGCTACAAGTATCCTTCAACAAAGTTGGCCTTGTCCACAATCTTACCCTATTATATTTTGCCTAGATCTGTCCATAGCAAAGTTTCCAAGAAAAAATTGCAAGGAGGGACCCTAGGGACTAAATAGGTGGCAGGGAAAGAGGCTGAGGGGCTTCAAGCTTCTCTCTGAGTAAGAATTAAACAAACAGCCCAGTGTGGATAGAGTGAGGGGAGGTTATATGAGACAGACATAAAAAATTAAAGTCCCAAACCACAGTGGTCATTCAGAAATGTTTGCAACTTTTCATAAGGCAGCGGTATTACTCCAAATTTCCTAGCCAAATATTTATTAATGCAGCTGAGGATTGAGTACATGAGGTTGTCTCACATCGACCCAGCATCCTACTTTCCTTGCAGCTCTAAACTGTGAGGTACTGTCAAAAAAACTCTTCCACACTCAAAATAGCTATGTTACAGAGGAGAGTTGGAACGTGTTCTGGGAGTGGGTGTGTTTGTTTGAGTTCAGTGTGTGCAGAAAAGGCAAGCCTCCAAAGCAATTCACACACTTCCCTCCTCAGCGATGGGTACACAGACAGCAGAGCTCCTGGACTGTCTCTGAACGGTAACGTACATTTATAAAGATTATTTTCTTAACTATTTTGAGCCATTTTATAAATAATATGCATGTGTCTACTAACATATATATATATATTCAACTATTACTTGTTTTCTCCTTTGGCTGATCTTGTGGGGTTGCTTATGAGGTTTGATTTCTGAGTATCAGAAAGGGATCCCCCATACCTCCTACCCCAGCCACCCAAAAATATCTCTTGGGTTGGCCCACCACAGATGAGTTCAAATCCCCACATTGCTCAAATGAGTTAGTCATTGAAAGTAGCTGTTAAAATTCAAGTGTCACATTGGGATATTAAGTAGACATTATAAATTAAAGACTATGTAAAACAGAAAAGAATATGGAGAAATTGATTCTAATATAATGTTAAGTTTCAAAGGAAGAATGCAAAATGACATACATAGTCTGGTTTAGACGCTGTTTATAAAATATCATGGGGTCAGAGCCAGCATATATAAACCTAGTTCATGAATATGAGCCTGTAGTAAAAGAAACCCAGCACTGTTAGGCAAGTTTTGTTCTGATTTATTTTAATAAGTGCTTTCCACAGTTTCTGATCCTCAGATCCTACTTTCTTTACAGTGTATCATCAGATACCTCTCTTTGCTGATCCCTGGAGGCTCCCAGTGACCTCCTGTTAATCGATCTTGGTGGGGCCCAAAACCCTACCTCCTGGAAAACTTAAGGAGGCTGACATCTGCCTGCGGGGAGCTTTTAGAAAAACCTCACAAAAGCCCACCCAATCTCTCTTGGCAGCAAACTGCAAAACCAAGCCCATTTCCTCAAAAGATGGTGGAGGACTTAGCAGCCTCCTATATTGCTCTGAAATTGGAGAATGAAATTCTCCAGGCCCAAGTGCAGAAGCTGATGGAAGAAAATGCTGCCCTGCAGGCCCAGATCCCAGAGCTCCACAAGCCCCAAGCAGCCAAGGAGGATGAATCAGTCCAGAAGCCCTCAGAGGCCCAGGAGCCCCCAAAACCCTCAGAGCCCCTGGAAACCCCAGCAGCCTGGGATCATACAAATCCCCCAGAGTTTGAAGAGCCCCAGAAGCCCAGAGAGCCCCAGTCACTTCCAATTGTCCATGGACTCTCAGCAGCCTGTGTGTCCCAACAGCCTCCAGAGGCTAAGGGGCTGGAGAAGTTCCCAATGGCCCTGGAGGTCCACAAGCCCTTTGAAGTCAAGGAGGCCCAAGAGCCCCCTCATACCAAGGATGCCCTAAAAGCCCAGGAGGCCCAGAATTTAGAGCTCCAGGATCTTCCAAATGCCCAAGATCCCCAGGAGACACCAGAATGCCAGGAGACCTCAACACTCCTGGAGCCCCTGGAGCTTCAGGCTTCCAAGGAGCTTCTTCAGTCTTGCATGTCTCAGGCCCCCCTGGATCTTTCAGATGCCCAGGAGTTCCTAGAGCTCTCAGCACCTCAGGAGTCCCTGGAGGGCGTAATAGCTGCTGAGACATCAGCCACTTCAGAGTTTCCACAGTCCCCTAGTGGGTTGGAGGCTGAAGCTTTCCCCTTAGAATACCCTTTAGCCTTCAATGGGAATTCCCAGAAGTTTCCTGAATTCCTGGTTCAATGGAATAGTTACATGAGAGTCAGAGGGCACCTGTATCCCACTGAAGCAGCCTTAGTGAGCTTTGTTGGTAACTGCTTCTCAAGTGAGGCTGGAAAGTGGTTCCAGCCCTTAGTATATATCCAAAGACCCCTGCTGGAGCAATTTGAAAGTTTCATACAAGTGCTCCAGGATACTCTTAACAATCCAGAAAACATGGAAGATGCCAACCACCGCATCCGTCGGCTTTGCCAAGGGGAGGACCCTGTCCACCAGTATGTGACCCACTTCCAACTCATTGCTCAAAAGCTAAACTGGGGTGAAAGTACTCTCTGCATCCAATTTCAAGAAAGCCTTGCTAGTTCTATTCGAGAGGAACTGTCTTCCGCAAGCTCAGCCACTAACCTATCTGATCTGATCACCCAGTGCATCAGCCTTGAAGAGAAGCTAAATGTTAAGCCTGATCCAAATCCACAAGGTACAATTCCCTCTGAGGAGAGAGCTGGGCCTGAGAGTCAACCAGGTGAAAACCGGCCTGTGCAGGCTGCCAGCAATCGCCCACGCCTCTGTGAAGCTGAACGGGCTCGACGCCGTGAAGGCCACTTGTGCCTCTACTGTGCTCATCCTGGTCATTTTGCCAGAGATTGTCCTGTCAAGCCTCATCGTGCCCAGCAGGCGGGAAACATCCAGGCCCGGCGGTAAGGGGGAACCCGGGCGGGCCAATCTACAAATATGCATCCCCCTCACTTCCAATATCCATGTCCCGAACCCTATGGCTTACTGTTGAAATTCGACTTGGAAGACGACAGTTCTTTGAGCAAGCAATGGTGGACTCAGGCTCCTACAGAAACAGCATTGACCATTCCGTGGTTCTTCGAGAGAAGCTGCCCATCCGCAATAACATCTTCCCTCTGATGCTTGAAACAGTAGATGGCCGTCCACTGATTAATGGACCCATAACTAAGGAAACACCACCTGTCGAAGTTAAAATTGGAAACCATGTTGAAGAGCTACAGTTTGATATTATTCATGCACCACGATACCCTCTGATTCTTGGAATCCACTGGCTTGAAACACATGACCCAAACATAGAGTGGAGTACCCGCACTGTGTCCTTTCCATCTCGTTATTGTCACTACAATTGCTTCAGGCACAGATGGAATAGAAGACATTGTGATGAAATCATTGCTGGGTAGATTCTGTGTCCTAGTAACTGCTCCTGGCAACCTGTCTTCTATTACCTCAGTTGTCATCAGAATCTCTAAAAAAAAATAAAAGCTACCTGGACAACAACACTGCCTCTGGGATCATGGACTGAACCTGACAATTTTGAGCTGCTTTTTTTTCACCAACCCTGCATGCCCATTTCTTTGAACCCTGCATTACTGTGAGGCAGTTTTTTTTTAATTTCTCTATTGATTAAGGTATTACATATGTGTCCTTATCCCCCCATTGCCTCCCACCCCCCCACTCATGCCCTTACCCCCCTGTTGTCTGTGTCCATTGGTTAGGCTTATATGCATGCATACAAGTCCTTTGATTGATCTCTCCCCCTTTCCCCCACCCTCCCCTACTTTCCCTCTGAGGTTTGAGCAGTTTTAATTACAATTTATACTAACAATATGCATGAGAATAGATATTAGAAACTAACTTTGAAAAGTGTAGCTGTTAGACTGACTTGATTTTTTTCTTATCAACATTTTTCTCTATCACAACAATTGCAGTATCTTTTCAATAAAAAATAATTTGCAAGTGATATTTTTAAAAAATCAATAAACATTGGCAATTTCTACTGGTATTTGAATTATTTCTTGGCTTAACTGAGGGAAGAGGAGAAGGGATAAATAAGTTTGGAGGAAGAGAGGGTATTGGAATAGGCTAAAAGTTTTGGTGATGTCCTAAATATTCCAGGGGTAGTTACAGGTCAGTGGGTGATGGAGTGGGGTGATGGAGAAAGTAGGGGAAGAGTTGGGGCAGAGAGAGATTGGGTGATGTATGGAGGGGTTACGGAAGGGTAGAGAGAAGGTTGAGAAGAGGTATTGGGGGAAATTAGCAGGAAGTTGGGAAGGGTTCAGTGGAGGGCTGGGATATCTGAGGGCAAGGGTGAAGGGAGAGGGAAATTCCTACAAATATAAAGGGACCACTAACAGAGACACTGAGCAGCTTTGAAAGCAAATTTCTTGGACTTTATAAATTAACCAAAGAAAGACACTGGAGAGGGTAATGAGATGGCTCATTGACCCAACTTTCCCGTAAAGTAACAATGTTATTCCTTGCACCTGGGAAATTTGCCCTGGAGTTCATGCCTGTTAATAGGCTCTTGCCAGTGCACAAGAATCGGATAGCAGGAATCAACTTTCAAAACATGCAGATCATTAATAGCCAATTATACCTCTCCTGCATATCCAGGTTGCCATACTGCTTGTATGACACACCATAAAGGCCAAGGAAAGGAATTCGTGTTCTTATGGACTTGAGAGGGGCTAGTGTAGTGTCCTGACTTAAGTGTCTCTCTCTCTCTCTCTCTCTCTCTCTCTCTCTCTCTCTCTCTCTCTCTCTCTCTCTCTCTCTCTTCTCTCCAGGGTGGGGGGAATGAAGAAGAGGCTGAAATCTCCAGGTGAGATATTAGCAGTGATCAAAGCAGGTGCTAGTGATTTCTTCTGTGTTTCCAACTCTCCTTTAGGATTCTCTTTCTGAGACCACTTGAAGGAGATTAGACAAATAATCAAATACATGGTCATTACCCTAGAAGGAGATATGTGAGGAACTTATATTTTATATCACTGAGCTACTAATATTTTCCAGCTACAATGTCAGGCATGTTATACACATTAATTATCTCATTATTCCTCAGAACAACCCAGTGAAGTAGGTATGTTTGCTCCTATTTTAGCAATGAGCAAACAGAATCCCAACAAGGTTAGTGCACTTGCCCAAAGTCACAAAGCAAGTGAGTGGTGGAGACATATTTGGCCTCCAAAACCTGTGCCCTTTCCTCCACATCATGCCAATGTCTCTAATGCAGTGGTGAGGGTCAAATAATGTTGTGGTAGCAGAGAGCTAACCCTAAAAAGGAGAGAAAACTCAAAAGACAAATTGTAGGAAACATTTGTATTGTAATTCTGTTTCCCCAGTTCCCTTCATCTCAACCCCATCCCCTTCACCGACTCATTCACCCCTAAACTTACCTTTTATTTCTTGGAATATTTCCTTTTGTTTAATCAATGGCATTCATGGTTTAGGTCCATGGTATTTTCTTCATGAGAGTTGGAGGTATATTAATAATGAGTTACCTATAGGACCTATGCATTATTATCTAGCAGTATGTATATCACCCCTGGGACTATCTGCTTATCCACTTCAATAACCAACACACTATGATGTACACCTGAAACAAATATAAAATAATATTGAATATAATCTGTAATTGAAAAAATATAAAAATTAAAAATAAACAGAAATAAAAAATAATCCATCTAAATCCTATAGAGCCTTAAATTCTACATCTTCTAGTCCTCATTGGTCTTCTATTTCTTCCCTAAACAATCTAAGATATTTTGCCATTATACACCACCTTGTGGTATGTGGGTACATTTCCCTAGGTAGATAGCCTACCCCCCCCCCCACACACACACACACAAATATTTAGCCTAGGTTCAGAGATAGAACCTTCTACATCCCTAACCTTGACAACATAGCCTAACATAGTGTTTGTTACATAAAAGTTCTCTACAGTGACTGATTCAATGATAGAGAATTATCATTACCCAGAGAAGGGTGCTTATTTGTATATTAAGGACGCTTCTTATTTTTCTCTCATTTAATTGCTCATCTCTACCCTCAAGACCAAGCACTATTTGTCAATGTGGAATTCAAGACAACAAAAGATTTCAGCAGCTACAGAGAAAAAAAAATCATTTTATTTGTCAAAATACTTGGAGCTAGGAAGACCAACTGTGTTGATTTCTCCTAGACTGAAAAGATTCATGTGTTAACTTCCTGTGTTAACACTGGGATGGTTAGTCAACATACCTGGTCCCTACATTTTTCTACCTGGCTATAGAAACTTATTTAACTATAGTAAAAGTCCTTATTGCATAAAAAGAATCAATTATTTCATCAGAGAGTAACAGAATTTGTGAGTTTTAAATGACTCAAAAATCTATTTCTTTATTTCACAAATGAAGGAGCTGAGGAGGCCCAGGAAAAGGAAAGCAACTTAATGTAGGGTTATGCTGATCTCCTGACTCCAGATCTAGTGGGGTTTTTTTTCAACATAAGCTATATTTCTAATTCAGTAGTTAAAAAATCAAGTATGTGGCCAGCACTGAGCTAGGTAATATGGATAGTGTCTAAAATATAATGAGACATTTACAATGTGCTCCAAGAGAAAAATTAGCAGGAATTAGACAGCTAACATATATAATCAAACATGTGACAGTAACAAATATACCAAACTGAAACATTGTACAAGATAGGAAAACTAATGGTAGTAACTACCATTTAATGAGCACCTAGGTTTTGCCAGATACTGGGCTATGTGATTCAGGTCTTTTCAACTGACTGCAAAGTAGATATTATTAGCCCCATTATATAAATCAAAGAAGTGAAGCCCGCTGAGGTGAGGTCACTTGCCAAAGGCCACACTGCTAGGAATTGGTGAATGCTAAAAATATGATCTATCTCATTTAAAAGCTGGAATTCAATCCACTGGTTCTCAGGCTGAATTTCCTTCATTCTTTATTAACTATTCAAACAATATTTATTCACTGGACATGAGTTCTATTACCTTAGAAAAAGATATTGATTTGTTACTGCGTTTATTTATTCATTCTACAGACATTTATTGAATGCCTTCTATGTGACAGACACAGGCATAGGGAAAAGAGGAAGAAAAAGGGAGAGAAAGAGAGGTACAAAGATATCTGAAGTATGATTCATGCATAGTTCTTGCTCTGACCACAATGTAATGGAAGAAGTTGTTGTATAACATAGTGCTGTGGTATACAGAGGAGAGAGCACTAATTCTGCTATGTACCAAAAAAGCATGTTTTGAGTTGGATCATGAAGGAATTTCATTGGAAACAACAGGCAGGGCAGGGCTTTACAAATTGAGTAAAGTGAACACACACAAAAAAAAGAAGTTAGAGAGGGAAATTGTGGTGTCTTTAGAAAAGATAGTTCTATTCCACTGGAGAATAGGAGTGTATGTGCATGTGTGTGGAGGGTAGAAGGTTGTTAGTGAAAGATGAAGCTTAAGAAGGAAGTTGGAGCCCTGACCAGTTTGGCTCGGTGGATAGAATATCGACCTGTGGACTGAGGAGTCCCAGGTTCAAATCCAGTCAAGGGCATGTGCCTTGGTTGGGGGCACATCCCCAGTGGGGGGTGTGCAGGAGGCAGCTGATTGATGTTTCTAACTCTCTATCCCTTTCCCTTCCTCTCTGTAAAATATCAATAATATATATACTTTTTTAAAAAAGAAAGAAGTTGGAAATCGCAGATTTAAAACCCTATCTATCAGGCTGGTGTTCAAACTTTATCCTGTGGGCAATTTAGACTGGAATCTTTGACTTTCCTTCTCCTCCCCCCGCCCCAGTTTTTGATATTTGGGTGTATATTTTCTCTCTTGCTACAAGATAATGCACACTCATTGCAACAAATTCATATATATATTAGAAGGCTATAACATAAAAATGAAAGGTTTCCTTAGCTCTCTGTCCCTT